TGCATAAGCTGCAGTGTATGTCCGCCTACCGGGTACATACGGCAATATTGGCCTTCCGATTATAAAATCGAGATACATTTGTAAAAATTACGTCGTAATGTATTGGCTTTATAGCCTAAAATAAAAATAAAAAAAAATGCGTTTACTTAAAAGTCATCCTTTTTTAAGATTATTTAATGCTTATTTAATAGATCATTCACAACCAAGTAATATAAATTATTTATGAAACTTTGGTTCATTATTAGGTGTATGTTTAGGTATACAATTAGTTACAGGAATAACATTAGCTATGCATTATAACCCTAGTGTATTAGAAGCATTTAATTCTGTAGAGCATATTATGCGTGATGTAGAAAATGGATGATTAATTCGTTATTTACATAGTAATACAGCTTCAGCTTTCTTTTTTTTAGTGTACTTACATATTGGAAGAGGTTTATATTATGGATCATATAGAGCTCCAAGAACTATGGCTTGAGTTATAGGTACAATTATACTTATTCTTATGATTGGTACAGGTTTCCTGGGTTACTTAAACATAGCCCAAAACGGTTATAAATTGAAACCGACAACAAAAATAACAACAACAACAAATACCTTAAGAACAAATATAAGTATTAATAATAGTGTAAGAAAAGCGAAGGAGCGAGGACCGAAGGGACGAGTTTTCGCTTCTCGCTTCTCTACAAATTCATATAATCATACTAAAATGAATTTAAATATTCTAGATATTAGATGTATTATTGAACCGAATTGTAGAATAAATGATTTCTTAGAATCTAAAAATCTTAATCCTGTATTTATTTATGATAAATTAGATCAAGATCTTATTAGAAGAAAAATAGCTGCAGAAACTAAGGATTTAAGTGGAATTTATTTAATATTAAATAAAGAGACATTAGGGTTTTATGTGGGATCTGCCTCGACTAATAAATTTAATACAAGATTTTCTAAACATTTATTATATGGTAGTGGTAGTAAGATTTTGAAAAATTCAGTAAAAAAGTATGGTCTGGCTAATTTTTGTTTTATTATTTTAGAATTATTTCCTGAGATAGTTAATCAAGAAAATAATAAGCAGTTATTAGATTTAGAAGATTTTTATTTAAAATCTTTGCTACCTGATTATAATATTTTAACTGAAGCTGGTTCTAGTTTTGGATATAAACATATTGAAATTAGCCGTATAAAAATGAAATCAGAGTATAGTGAAGAATGTAGAAATCGTGTAGGAGTGCTCTGGGCGAAGCAATCAAGTAGTAACATAGCTTGCGCTACGCACAAAAATAAATTATCCTCTGAAACTATTGAAGCTATGAGACATAGTGCATTAAACAGAGAAAAATTTCAATACTCTGATGAAGCATTATTAAATATGAAAAAAAATTCTAAGCCTATAATTGTTAAAGAATTAAATGGTATTGTATATGGAGAATATAATAGTATCATTGAAACAGCTGAAGCTTTAAATTGTTCAGCTAAAACAGTATATAGAACTTTAAAAAGTTCTAGTAAATTGTTAAAAAAACGTTGAATAGTTATTTATGCATAATGCTATATACATTGTACTAATTTACTAAATTATATTATTGTTGTTTTGTTGTTTATAATATAATTTTTATTTGTTGTTAATCGTAGTCCTATAATTTTATAACTAATGTAATTTATGGAAAAAAATATAGTTTTATTATAGAATGACTCGACGGGGTCATTGAAGAAATATAAATATTTCTTTGGCAATGCTAGTGAAAACGATCAAAATATAGTCAAATATAAGAGATCGTCGGTTATCCATATAATCGCGACAGACTGGGTCACTGGTGGGTGGCTGAAATGCTGCTTAATGTACAGTCGACGCTTTTTATCTAGATTTTAGATAAATATAATAATCGAAATAAAAGATATTATAGCTTTTTGTGGGTGTGCATACTTCGTTAGCAGCCCTAAAAAGTAAGTTTTTGTATGTTTTACCTTATGGTCAAATGAGTTTATGAGGTGCTACAGTTATAACTAATCTTATAAGTGCTATACCTTGAATTGGACAAGATATAGTTGAATTTGTATGAGGAGGTTTCTCAGTTAATAATGCTACTTTAAATAGATTCTTTGCTTTACATTATTTATTACCTTTCATACTAGTTGCATTAGTGTTAGCTCATTTAATTGCAGTTCACGAATCTGCAGGTGCAAGTAATCCTTTAGGTGTTCCAAGTTATTACGATAGAATACCTTTTGCACCTTATTACTTATTCAAAGATTTAATAACAATATTTATTTTCTTCTATGTTTTAAGTATATTTGTGTTCTTTATGCCTAATGTTTTAGGAGATAGTGATAACTATATTCCAGCTAATCCTATGCAAACACCAGCAGCTATAGTACCTGAATGATATTTATTACCATTCTATGCTATATTAAGATCTATTCCTAATAAATTATTAGGAGTTGTTGCAATGTTATTTGCTATCTTAATCATCATGATATTACCTGTTACAGATTTAGGTAGAACTAAAGGTTTACAATTTAGACCTCTAAGTAAAATAGCTTTCTATATTTTTGTTACTAATTTCTTAATTTTAATGCAATTAGGGGCTAAACATGTTGAAACTCCATTTATAGAGTTTGGACAAATAAGTACAGTATTATATTTTGCACATTTCTTAATTATAACACCTTTAATTAGTGTAATAGAAAATACTTTAGTTGATTTAAATTTAAGTGGAAGTTCTTTAAAAAAATACTAACTTTAGCAGGACGTACTTAAGCTATATTTAGTAGTGATTTTTCTACATAAGCTAGGATATTTGTACTTCGTAGTATTTCTGCGCGTAGCGCAAGCTATGCTAGCAAGTTCCTAATTTTTTCTATATTTTTATTTTAATTTTATAAATAATACAAAGAAGACACAAAAC